CAGCCAGCAGGCTCTCATCCCACACGCAGCCATCTCACAGGATCCTCCACTCACCCTGGCTTGCCTTGGAGCAGAGGAACTGGAGCTCCTAGGAAATGGTGCAGGAGGTACAGACTTGGGTAGGTTGTCGGGGGTGAGTGAGGCTAGTCACCACCCCAGAAGTGGCCACTCTGCACCCAATCCTACCAGGAGCTGAAGACAAGCCATATCCCATAGGTTCCATTTTCTTACTCCAGTGGTAGAGTGAGTACATGAGTTCTGTTATGCATGTTACTTCTCTTTCACAGTAAAAAGACAAAAGCATGAAGGAAGTGGTGCAATTTGAAGATTATTGAATGGTATTTCCCCTCTCCTCCACCTTACCAAGCCCACCTCCAGGACCTGATATATCACTATTTATGACTCCTTGCTTTGCTTAAAAATAGTCCCCTCTTAGATATTTATGGGGAGAAAAGAGAAAGCAAAGAAAGTAACATTTTAAATCACTAACTATGAGCCAGGAAAGTTCACACTTAAAAACTCACACACACTCCTACCAAAATGGTTAAAATCAAAAAGATGAACAATAATAGCAGCTGCTGGTAGGGACGTGGAGCAACTGGAATGCCCAGACACGGCTGATGTCACAACCACTCTGGAAAACCGGTAGAAATGACCAAAGCTAATCAAATGTGCTCTCTATGGCCTAGCAATTACACATTCAGGTTTACACCTTGTAGAAATGCGTTCTCAGTCTTCCAAAAGAGAGATAAGAGAATGATCATAGTAACTCTACTTCTGTTAGCCCCAAACTGGAAACAAACCAAATGTCCATCCACAGTAGAACAGATAAATCAATTACGGTATATTCATATAAAAGGATACAACATAAGATATGACATGGATGATTCTCACAGACATAATATTGAGCAAAAGAAGCCAGACACAACAGAGTGCATACTGTATGAGTCCATTTACAGAAACTGGAGAACAAGCAAAATCAATAGACATTGATGGAATTCAGAAGAGTGGTTATCTTTGAAAGGGACATAAGGGTGTCCCTTTCTGGGGTGCTGGAAATAGTCTGCCTCTCATTCGGGAGGAGTGGTGGTTATGGGGAGGGTGGTATACAAATGTAAAAATGTATCGAGCTGTACACTTAAGATAGATGTACTGCTACACCTCAGTGAAAGAGAACCAAAACTCACAAGCACTGTAAGACAAGGGTTGGTTCTCAAACTACGGTTCCGGGCGCGCTTCAGCAGCACGTATACTCAGAATGTGGTTCCTAGTACCGCGGCGGCAGCAGCACCAGAGAACTGGTTAGAAACCCAAAATCTGCGACCCCCCCCCCACAGACCCACTGAGTCAGATGGGGATGGGGGCGAGCAGTTTGTATTTTAACAAGCCAGGGAGATTCGGATGCATGCTTAGGTTTAAGATAAGATGTAGGAAGTATTCGCCCCACTTTACATATGAGAAAACTAAGGCTCATGGAGGGAAAGTTCAGATCCACAGTCAGGTAATTACTAAGAGGTGGAGCTAGAATTTGAACCCATAGCTGGTTCAGTCCTGTGCTTCTCTGACCCAATCACACCACCCGTTTCTACGGAAATACGGCTCAGCTGGCGGGGAATGTGACGTGAGGCTGCACATTACATCCATCAATGAAAAGCCAACTCCAGCTCTGCGTACTTGTGGGGCAGTCAGGACAGAAGGGCATGAAGTTCAATTTCACAGATTTTTGTCATGGAGAAAGCCAGCTGAGACCTATTTCCTTGTTTCTCTAAACTGCTGTGATACAGGAAGAATGGCTGGAGGTGAAGATAGAGACAAAGAGCCTGAGATTTGGCGAACTTTTTAAACTATGTTTAGGAGCTGGGACCTTGACCCAAGTGCAACAGGGAGCCATCACCTGCCCCCTCCACCCAACTATAAGCCCCATGAGGGTGGGTACCAGGTCTGTTTTAGACACCTGCATACCCCCTGCCCCTAGCACTGTGCCTGGCAAGTGGTGGGAGCTAAACAGAGATTTTTTTTTTAATTGAAGTATAGTCCATTTACAGTGTATCAATTTCTGATGTACAACATAATGTTTCAGTCATACATATAAACAGAGATTTGTTGAACTGATTATTTTGTGCTGGAGGTGAAATGATGCATTTTCTGTTTCTAAAAGCCAGCTCTGGTGGGGGGCGGGGTAGAGGGTGGGAAGGGATAGAC